ATTATATATAGCTCATTACATACTTGTCATATTGTTCCAAGCTTGTGGTCTCTATGCTACCGCCTCCCAAAATTCCAGCGTTATTAACTAAAACGTCTAATTTGCCGTAGTGCTTGATCGTCGAGTCGATAATATTTTTCACATCGTTCTCATTAGTTAGCTCTCCCGTTACGATGAACGGCTTGGTTTGGCCACATTGTTCGGCTACGTTGTCTAAATCCTTCTTATTTCGGCCGGTTATCGATAGCTTCGCACCAAGATTAGCTAGATGAACAGCAGTTGCAGCTCCAATTCCCGAACTGGCTCCTGTTATCAGAACAACTTTTCCCGCGAGAGACATCTAAGAGAAATGAAACGTTCTTCACAGTGTTGTAACTTAACTGTTGCAACGTACATATACATAAAATATGTAGAAATAATGCACGCCGGTCATCGTTAATTATACAAAATGTAGTTTACGTCCAAATATATAATCACTTATCGTGATAGTACAAAGATACTGAACGCATTACCGCAAAACTTATAAACTGAAGCAATAAAAGCCGTGATATCACGTTCGTAAGCTGGACGTCGTCTGCAAAAGTGAACTGACACAGACACTAACGGATACGATATATAATAAGTAATTGGTACTTCATGTATTTATAAAATCTGCCCCACTCTACTATTCAAGAACGGTACGTGATGTGTGTCTGCTATAGCTCTCTAAATATGCACTCCTGAATGCGACCAAGTGTTGTGTGGTAGTTTCTCCCTCTCTTTTTTAATATAATTAATGCAATTTTTATTCTATTGATAATAACTAATAAACAAAGCATTAGTCTTCAATTATTAATAAAATAAGAATTATTTAAAAAGGAAAAGTTTTAGAGTTATTCTTGGCATTTCTGAAGAGAGAAGGATGGAATTAGATCTTCATCGTACTCTGTAAAAATATTTAATATATTTTTTTTTGAAATTTGCAAAACTATACAGTTGCAAATGGAAAATAGAGAGTATCTTATGTTACTTAGAATAAAACAATGTATAATAAAGTATGTATTTTATATTACTATCATTAGAGAAGATAGACGAGTATAGAAGCACGGATCTATATGTCAGAATGTATCGCGAGCTGGGGTACCCTAAAGATTCTTACAGCGTTTTCGGATGGGTTTGATCACTCCGATTAATAACGTCATATGCTCTCCTCGTCCTTCTCTGTGACGTCATTGACATTATTAATTGTTCTCGGAGCGATCAAACCCGTCCAAAAACG